CCGGTCCAACCGGCCCATCCTGGGCCGGTCTAACACTGATTTGGCCAAGTTGTGGCAAATTGCCATTGCGAGTGTTTTGAAGGGGTCACAATGGGAAAAAAAGATAATGAAAATGTGAAAAAAAAAGGCTGATTTCTACAAATAATTATTCTTTTTCTTGAAGATTGCCATATACTTGGACTAAATTCTAGCTTACCATGAAGTAGTTATGTAGTTTTCTAGGGTAAAGTCGTAAGATTAAATATCTTCCTTGATGTTGTAAGGCTTTCTAGTTTAAAAATTAAAATTTTTATACTAAAAAGTTGTTTTAAGAAACAATAAGAAAGCCGTCCCAAACGAAGCCTAAGTCTCGCTTGGAAGACTTCTATTAGACCGGTCCATTGTACCGATCCAACTTGTCTATATGGGACCGGCTCATGGAGATAAGAGGCAGAACTCTTCCGCCTCCGGTACGCGGGATCTGACCGCTCGATTTCTACAAAGCCGTGTATGAAGAATTTTGAAGGAAGCTTAGGAGGGAAATTGAATTTAGGGACTTTTTATAGATTTCCTTTTGAATTGTGTACATTAAATAGTTTGTTTCCGAGGGTTAGGGCATCTTGAATTTGGCTGAAATTTGAGATCTCCTAGATTTAGGTTTTCCTTTGGGCTCTAGTGGCGTCTAGAGATTTGGGAGAGATAGATCCTCCTCTCGAATAGAGGATCAATTGTATCTTGGTATTTCTTGGTATTTTTCCGTTTCTATTTCATCAAATTATACAAATTTTCTATTGTTTTTTCGATTTTTGTGGATTTTTGTGGAGGATTTTCGCTGTTTTCTAAACATTGTTAGGAATTACTTGAGATCTTTAAGTGTTTTCTATCAACTTCCAATGATTATAAGCCCCAACCCAGATCAACACAAAGCCAAGAAACCCGCTAAATCAAAACTTGAGATTTTCTATGGATGTGAGCACCAACCCAAATTATACTCTTTTATTAGCTCCTTTGATAGCAAGTTCATCAATCAAAACTAAATCCATCAAATTAAATCACACAAAATAAAAAACTTATATTTGTCTGAGTCATGCTTCTTCGAGTCATGTTGAAACTTGTGAATAACTAGTGGTGATACCATGTTGTTCAACGCTTGTTGGTAATATCTTATAACGCTAAAACACAAGCAGATATCCTTTGCGCTTTTGAACTATTCAATGAAAATTGCTATGGCCAACCTTCTATTAGCGAACGAGTCTACGTTAATCCCTAAAATATATTTTTGACACTGTCATATTTCTTGCCTGGTTTTCAAAGCCCGTCTTTACGTGGATGGATTTACACTGAAATGGGTTTGATTCCAGTGACCATTTCATGAGCTTATGAAGACATGAGACCCATCGTTACATGGATGATTTACACTGAAATGGGTTTGATTCCAGTGACCATCTCATGAGCTTCTGAAGACATGAGAACTTTTTCATATTTCTTCATATCTTGAAAAATTGATTAAACGTTCATTTTTTTTATTTTTTATTTTTGGTTTCACTGCAGCATTTTTAGACTATCATGATATACCATACAAGGTTGTGGAAGTAAACCCTTTTGGCAAGAAGGAAATCAAGTGGTCTTACTATAAGAAGGTTCCTATTCTAGTTGTGGATGGTGAACAGCTGGTGGAATCGTCAGGTTCTTGTTCTGAAAGCTTCTGAATTTGCTTCATAATTTTCTTACTTGCAGTCTGACTTCAATAAAATACTTTTATTTTAAAATATCTATTGCAATCTGACAGTAAATGGTTCTTGTGCATATGAGATTAAGTCTTGGGCTTATGCTTGCAGATATAATTGATAAATTAAACCAAAGGATCCATTCTGAGAGGACCATTCTTGACGAGGAGGAATCAAAATGGAGGAGGTAGGTCTTTAAAATATTCTTGTAATATCAAGTTGTCGTTTCATTAAAGACCTGTTTATAATTGATGTTCTCTCATTTCATCAATGTTCATGGTGCTCTATATTCAGTTTCAGTCATTTTCTCCTTTTTTGGGGATTGTTTTAGCTGAAGCTAGAATCTTATACACTTATTGTTCTCCTTTTTTATTGTGCTTAATATGATTAATTCTATAATAGTATATAGCCCAATGACATGCTGCTGCTGATTAATTGTGATGGGGACATCATCAGAGATTGCGACACATGTACCATCAGGAGATGTCG